TTTTTCCCTACTGATCTTATTCATCTATTTCAGATATAACCATGTTTTTTATAATCTCCTATTATCAAATATTGAAATCAACTTATTAACAACGATAATTCAAATTCGTTATAAATAATTATCCAAATTATTGTTTCAGATGACAATGCTCAATTTCATAGCAATAATCTTAAATGGACCATAAATGTCAAAACATTGATGAAGTCATGTTAATGCTTGTCATCATTTCTGTTCAATTGGACGACTGTTTCTATTTTCCTTAGATTATTCCTTGGTTAATGTGACCATGGGATGATTATTCCTGTTTCTGGTTTTTAATGGAGTGACTGTTTCTGGTGTCCATAGCTTATTCATTGTTTTATGTGACTCTGGGATGATTATTCCTGGTTTCTGGTTTTTAATTGGACGACTGTTTCTATTTTCCTTAGCTTATTCCTTGGTTAATGTGACCACAGGATGTTTATTCCTGGTTTCTAGTTTTTAATGGAATGACTGTTTCTAGTTTCTTTAGCTTGTTCCTGGTTCAAGTGACAATGGGATGATTATACCTGGTTTCTGGTTTTTCATTGGACGACTGGTTCTAGTTTCCTTAGCTTATTCCTTGGTTAATGTGACCACAGGATGATTATTCCTGGTTTCTGGTTTTCAATTGGAAGACTGTTTCTAGTTTCCTAAGCATTCCTTGTTTTATGTGACCATGGGATGATTATTCCTGGTTTCTAATTTTTAATGGAATGACTGTTTCTAGTTTCTTTAGCTTGTTCCTGGTTTTATGTGACCATGGGATGTTTATTCCTGGTTTCTGGTTTTTAATGGAATGACTGGTTCTTGTTTCTTTAGCTTGTTCTTGGTTTTAAGTGACCATGGGATGATTATTCCTCATTTCTACTTTTTAATGGAATGACTGGATCTTGTTTCATATCCTTACTAAGGTCTCAATTTTTCTATATTCGATTGATCTTTATTAAGACTCTATATTTTATTTTTTTCTATTAACTGCTGGTCTCAAGTTAGATTCATGATTCTAATGTCTAATATTCACCACTGATTTAAGTGAAATTCATGGTATCATGCTCTCACTACAGTTTTTGCATAAATCATGTAGATAGGAAATTTGGTAATTGTTCACACAATAGTTACTTCTCCAATGCTTAACAACTATATAGTCTATATCTCATGTCTTCATTCTGTTTATATCTGCAGTATTTCAATATACAGTATGAGCTGACTAACAATATTCCAACAAATAAACTGTTGACACAGAGATATGTCTGGCATGTCGGCATAAAATTCGAGAGAAAAAAAATCTGATGGACAGCAACATTTCTAATTAATTCAAAGTCGCTGGACCATGAACTTATGGACAGGGCCTCGAAATAGTCGACAAACTGAGTAGTTCCTAAAAACTTAACTCAAGTAGAAAACATAACAATTGTTGACGCCTACAACGGAGAAGCCATGGTTGGAAAAGCAACACCTATGTTTCGCCATCTGTGACTTTTGTTGCAGGCAAGACAAAAAACCAGCCACATTTTTTTAGGGCAAATTCAATCCTGGAGAGTAAGCTGCACTTTACTTGTACTTATTTCTAACAATATAGACTACATCAGTACATGCGTATTAAAATAAATTCAAAACATCTTAGATAGAAAAAAATGTGCTTCAGTTCTATTACTGAGACTTTATTAACCTATCTATAAATTAGGCACCCAACAGCCTTCTACTGACTTCCAAGGTTGAACAGACACATAAACACTGCTTACAAAGAGCCAAAATAAAATTATACTAAATCTTTCCCACGGAACTTGGAGATGATCAAAATAATTTGAATGAAAAAAAGACGGAATCTAATTGTCTCTTAATAGATTTTCTGTTGACTCTGAAGGTAGACAAATGACAAAACACAGTTTGTGACTGAGAAATCAATCAGGCTAATAACTCTATGTATTATTTCTTATATCTGATGACTTGAGATTGACTTTGTGACACTGACATGTGATGAGCTACTAAGGAGACTTGAGGTTGAAATGGTTTATTACAAATCTTCCATTGTCAAACATCTGACATTTTTCTAATTTTAGGAAAACTGCAAAGAGTTAATATTGTTTAATCCAGTCATTAATAAATCAGAGTTAACCAGCCTATACTTATACTCATATTCTAATAAAGTCTTTGTAGTTAATTTATAGTAAGAATGGCAATAATTTCCTCCACGCTGCAACAAACTAGGCATGAAAATATCACATGGTTAATAAACAAGAATATTTTGGTTTGTATGTTGAAACAAAAATATAATTGAATATGGCTTATAATAAACTACATGTATAGTTAAATTGCAATAGCAAATGACACAATTTTACAAAACATAATTTGAGACTTTTGATTATATACTCTGCACACTGACTGAATTCAAACCATTAATTTTCTACATACTTAACATGTATGATACAGTATTTTAACCTAAAGACCCATCTCAAAATATCAATCTCGATAACCAATCACATGACTGCTTTAAAATTTCTCATCACCTAACAGAAAGTTTATCTTTAGAACCATTCAACAACTACTGAACTTCAGAATTACTATCAAAATGTTAAAACATATGAACCACTTTTTAATTGTGAAACCTAATGGACCTTCTCTAAAAATGTCAAACTTCAGAATCACTTAAAAAATAAAAAATATTGTCTATTGCTTTTTATTTTACATTAGCTGGAGAAACAACCCTCTGATTAATAGTCCATGTCCATCTCTTGGTCTCACAATGTCTCAGAATAGGTATAAACTCATATAACAAAGGTACATGTATATAACTTGAATATATAAAGTAATTAATGTGAGATTACAACTGCAGATGTCACAACAGATAGAACAACCATATATCAATACTGTTACAACATCTGTTATCATAACTTATAATAAAATACACTTGGATTTATAGATTTTATAAAGTGATGATCAAATGAATTCAGGTAGTGCTGTATTTAATGTCTGAAATTAAATCAAAGAGCTTGATAGCTCTTGGGGGAAAGATGGCATTGTTTTATTTAATTTCAGTAGTTTTGTCATACACATATTTAACTCTGCATCTGTTCCTAACCAAGGTTCTGTATTTTTATGTATGGACAAGAGCAGACACTGAAATGTGTTGGCTACTTTACTGATCATGATTGAATTACTGTTGGAAGTCTTTAAGATAAAGGTTTACTACAAGTATCACTATAGTTAGCATTATCAATGAACTATGTATATGAGGTCAAGGTAGGATGAAATCTGGCACACAGACATGCACACCATACAAATATTCCATACACCAAATATAATTAACTTATGCTTACAGTATCTGAGAAGCAGACCTAACCACAATAAATGGGGAATGTGTCCATGGGACACAGATGATGCCCAGTGTTCTCCCCAGGGCCTTTTAGTATCATGGTAATGTGATGCTATAATCTTAAATGTGATGCTATCTGAAGTGGTTTTCTTATAGATTATGTTATGGATGTGATGCTATATTTTTTAGAAACAAGATGGTATTTCAATTTCCCCTGTTTACCAGGATGCTAAATGAAATATCTGGGGAGAACACTGGATGCCCCTGCTTGCATATAATGTTATAAAGGGACAGAACTCAAGAACAGTTAAAGTGACACTACCCAAATTTGTACTTGATCTGAGTTTTGTGGTAATAAGCATTGTGTATAAGTTCCATAACATTTGGTTGAGGCAAACATAAGAAAATGCCTGTACCAAGTCAGGAATATGACAGTTGTTATCCATTCGTTTGATGTGTTTGTTTTTTTGATTTTGCCATTTGATTGGGGACTTTCCTTTATGAATTTTCCTCGGAGTTCAGTATTTTTTTGATTTTACTTTTTAGGTTACGAGAACAAAAACAAAAATTCAGCAATTTTTCCATTTGTTAAGGGCATAGCTCTAGAACAGTAAAAGTGAGGCCACCAAAATTCAAAACTGATCTGTGTTTTGTATTAATAAACATTGCACATAAGTTTCATAACATTTGTTTGAGGCAATCTAAAGCTAGAGAACAGAAACGAAAAATTCAGCATATTTTTCCATTTGTAAAGGGGCATAACTCTAGAATGGTAACAGTGAAGCTACCCAAATTCAAACTTGATCTGTGTTTTGTGGTAATTAGCATTGTGTATAAGTTTCATAACATTTGGTTGAGGCAAACTAAAGTTAGAGAACGGAAACCAATTTTGGGACATACAGACAGACAAGGGTAAAACTTAATGCCCCCTCTGCTACATCAGGGGCATAAAAACTTCATGTTGACAAATGAAATCTGAAAATGAGGTCAAGGTAAGATGAACCCTGCACATTATCAAATTTCAAATTCAGTTTAAACACTTATTTCACATATATTTTTGAAAGTTCACATTTGCACTAAATTGATATGACCACGGCTTCACGGAAAACTATATTTACCAACATCAATCTGATACTGGACAGACAGACAGATTGACAAAGACTAGAAAACATAATCCCCTCTACTGTTGTTTAAAGGGCATACAAATCATGTCATAACGAAGTCTTTAGTAATATTGAGCTTTCAAATACCAAAGACTAAGCAGGTTTAACCATTTGAAGTCATACGAGACTATGAAAAACAAACCAATATGAATTTTTAGACATTTTCAGTATAACACAGAAAGCATTAACCTAATCACAATGACTGATCATGCTGATATCAGTCAATGAAAACAATTTAGATGACTGTCAGAAGTTGTATACCATATTATATTATCAAGCATATATAAAGTGTGATTTTTTTCCCCAATTCCATTGGGTCTCATATCGTGAATTTTTTTCTTCAATTCCATTGGGTCTCATATCAAGAAGATGAATATTGCTGCTTTGACATTTTATTATGAAGAAAACAATTTTTTTACTCCAGCACACAATTTGGTATAATTTGTCTATGGCATTATAAGGAATTATCAGGTGTCTTTGTTTAATACAAGTCAAAGACTTACCTCTTGAAGTTTTTCTCGGACACGGTTCACTGCATCTATCCATTTAGACCTTGCTGGTGAGGAATAATCAGGATTCATTTGTGTTTCATACAAGTCCTGTCCATCACTGACTTCTTGTGTACTCCCTCGGCTGATGTTGGTTGATGATCTTGTACTGTTAACAGGACTAAAAGTAGATAGAAAACAGTTTACAGACTTTAAATATACAGAAATTGTTAACTGGACTAAAACAGACAATTGTTTATAGAAATAAAGACAGTTAACAGTACTAATAAAAGTGATTGTGATCACTGAGTGTAAAGATTGTTTTCATTTCGCAATGTGAACTTAAAATCAAACATTGCATTTTATATAGCAATGGACGGCACTATTTTGAATTGGAGTTTATTTTCCATTGTCCATACATTGCTATTGTAGTTGAACTTAAGTTTTAGATCAGATAAATTCATATACCATGCAAGATAGATGTTAAGCACATACACATTTGTCATTTTGTAACTTGAATATCTGAGTATATACCATTAATTATTGTTTGAACTGGACATTGACAGGACCTAAAGGTTGCACTTCTGTAAATTCAGACAATGCAATTTCCCATAGGAACTCCCTTTGCGGCTAAAGATAGGCAACTTTTACTATGATTATAATGAAGTTTCATAAAAAATTATATCCTAGAATGGAAAGTTGATATGCACTACTTTTCTATTCAAAGGTCAAAACATAGGGCTGTGCGGCATATTTTCAACATTTATATGCCGGAACTTGTAAGAGTTTAAACTTATACTAAAATTCTGTACTACCCCTACCTTTATTTTTGGTCTGCCTCAGAATTCATTTTTCACCGGTACCTTATGTTTTTATACTGGTAACTTTCCCAAGTTATTTCTCTATGAGATGAAACATAGAGATCATATCTGGGAACCAGTACATAAACAAATTAAAATATCTATTAATATTATATATCTCCCCAAAAGAGGCGTGGCTTGTGAAACAGCTGTATTTACAAAGTGCAACCGCAACCTAAAAAAAGTTGACCTAACTGAACTGTGTTGTTTGTGCTTTCAAAGGTAGAGATAATGCCTGGAAAATATAGCTATCAAGCCCACAATTTTTACCCCAAAAATTAGACAGAGAACTGTACTTTTCCTCAATTTAAGATTGCCAATAGATCTGTTTGAATTAAATCATAAATAGTTAAGCCCATGAAATGAAGTATTCCAGAATCCTTGAAAATGAATATCAATGTTAATACATGAATCCCTAGTATCTTCAGACTAACAGTTCTAAATATTATGAATGGCTACCTATAACAATGGAAATATTCAACATTTTCTACCTATTTTATAACTCATCAATACACCAATATTGTTTTTCTATCTGTAATATTCATTGTTTACAAATCATAACTCAGAAAAATTTGATGTAATAGTAAATCAGGCAGATCATAACTTTTATCATTTATCTTACGGTAATAAAAACACTAATGAGTAAAACATAAGTGTAATCACAGCAGTAACCTGATAATTCAAGCTTATTTACACAGATTGTATACAAATATTTACTGGACACTTGATATCATTTGACTTCTATTAGAACTGAAGAAATGGTCTTCTTTAATCAAGTTTTAGTAAAACACAGTCATTAAAGGGACCCATTGTTTAGTATAATACCTTCATCCAATATGCTGAAATTAAATGCTTTTCTACATCAATGACAAATCATTGATCACATCGATTCCATAAATAACAACAATGAATTTACTCTGGGATTTACACTAATTGTTCACTTTCTATCAAACAAATAAATAATGGATTTTTTCAAAATCAAATGGAATTCCTTAGATTACCTAATTACTCTAACTGAATTTTATTCTCGAACCACCTGATTTTTAAACAAGCATTCAAAATTGCACACAAAGAAACTTTCTCCAAATACTCAATAAAGCCTTAATTTAAACCAAGACATGGTTGTTTTTTTTTGTTTGAATTATTTCACATTTTTTCATGTCTCAGACCTTTCATAGCTGACTTTACGGTATGTGTAAGTTTTGTTCATTATTTAAGGCCGTACGGTGACCTATAGTTGCTTTAATCCACTTCATTTGGACTCTGTTGGATAGATATCTCACTGGCAATCATACCACATCTCCTTATCATATATACTGTCAATCCTCAATTTATTCTAAGGTACACTGTAAGATGGAATTTAGTCTGGTCACCATCTGGTATTTTTATTTCCTGAAGGCATACTGAATATTTACGTAGGAAAACAACCTAGAAGGAATTGAGATTGAGGCTCTTTTAGATCAAGGGTCTTCTGAAGACAGAACAATTGTTTGTAAAACATGTAACTAAATACTCTTAAATGCCTACAAAGCTCACATACATTTATGCTCCTTTTGTTCCATCTTATTATTCAAAGAATTCATTTTGACCTTGCAGAAACACTTTCCAACATTATGCCCTCTTTTTGGAAAAAAATTATCAAACTTCATTAGTATCATTCAAGGCATTTCAAAATTTCTGAATCAGACATGACATTGTGTACATATATGTGTGTATGTAAAGTCGAAATATGTGTGTGACCATGAACTTGCAAACATTCAACCGTATATGTGACACACCCTGTGGTGGTGGGACACCATAACACCAATGGTGTATCAATAATATCCTTTAAGGATTACAAAAGTTCTAAACAGGACACATCTTTTCTTTTATTTTCATTGAATTTCAAAATTGAACAGTCACAGAATTATGTTTGAAGGTGAATGGGACGAAAAGACCATCAATAGCATATTTTTACCAGTTAGATAATTATTGGTAATTTTTCTTCATTCATTTTAGGTTTTTCTTGATTTATTATATTTGTTTTTTTTCTATTTGAGGTAAGAGGCTTGATAATAGCAATTATTCCAATTCAGTATTTAAATATAAAAATAATCAATTGATTTATTCATTTATCCTCCCTTTGTGACAATGATCCAATGGGATGAACATTCAACTACTCCTCATTATATCTTCTAGAATTATAACTCCTACCAGGATAACCCAATGATAAACCCAAACAAACATTAAAGTAAATGTTCTACAGTTGAATACTTCAATCAATTTTAAATGTATTAGGATTACTTATCTATATCATATTAACACAGAAGTTAATTTCACTTCTAATAAAAATTAATGCTAATGATGAATTTAAATGTTAAATCATTTTTTATGTACACATAATACAGATAAAATATAACCATGGTAACAATAGATCATCAGTTAAAGTTAATTTATACACGTTGTGAAATATAACTTTTTAGAGTTGAGGTAAAAAGTCTTAAAATTATGCCTAACATACAAGTATGATAAACAGCTGCGCCATGAGCGCATGATACGCCTGTCGCTTTTTCAAAGAATAAAGTTCAATAACTTCTCAATGTCATATCAAAACGTAATGAAAAACTAAAGGGAGGTTATCTTAAAAGATATAAACCAGTCACCAAAGTTTCAAGAAAACTGCTCAAAGCACTTTAAAGATATTGCCGAAAACTGGAAAATCACTCCTTTTTTATGAATAAAATCCCATAACTCCGAAACGTAAAATCTAGAATTTATAAAAATCAAAAAGGAACTTACGTCAAAAGATATAAACAATTCACCAAAGTTTCATGAAAACTGCTGAAAGCATGTTTGAGTTATTGTCCGAAAACTGGAAAATCCCCCTTTTTTAAAGAATAAAACCCCATAACTCGGAAACGTTAAATCTAAAATTTATCAAAAACAAAAGGGAGCTCACGTCAATAGATATAAACAATTCACTAAAGTTTCATGCAAATTGGTTAAAGCATTTTTAAGTTATTGTCCGATATGTTGATGACGGACAACAGTATACCATTATACACATGTACGTTCCGTAAATGGGCGTATAAAAATAAGATGTGGTATGATTGCCAATGAGACAACTATCCACCAAAGTTCAAATGCTTTGCAAAACAACCAATTCAACAGGAAATACCTTAAAACTTAAGTATTTTTATTCATTTACCAGTACATAAATTACTGTAAAGACATAGAACACTTTCCAACATTATGCCCTCTTTTTGGAAAAAAAATATCAATCTGGCTAATCTTCTGGACATAAAATATTCGTCTAATAGTTTTTCCAATTCAATGGATGCTAAGCATTTATGATTTTCTAAAATGTCAAAGTAATGGAATTCTGGTCTCTTTGTGTAGCCAACTTCTCTGTGATCTGGTGGTATAATGTTCGCCCTGAATGCAGGAGGCTGTGTTGTTTATCTTGACAAAATGGTTCGCTCATTTCAGTTGCATTTCATAATCAATCTTCTCAATGGTTTTGAATAGTAACCTTCTTTCAAATTTGAAGATGATTTAACCAAAAAGAATATGCTACCGATAGTGACAACAAAGTTATGTTGGACAGGACGAAAACATTACACTATCACAGCTTGATTCCTGAGGAATAAGTGACTACAGATCTTCAAATTTTCACATTCAATTACATAACCAGAAACCAGAAATTAAGTACAATTAATGTTGTGTTAACCAATAGAAAAAAAATTGTAAACATACAATAAGCAAGAGTTCCAATAACAGAGTCTACGATTCTTATCACTAGAGGTGTTTTATTTCTAACAACATGTCTTAAAATGAACACATGAAGAATTATCTACATTTATCCTGGACTAACTACCATGTAATTCCCTGCTCACCAGAACTAACAATACTTAAAGTCAATTACTTAACCACTTACGATTTATGTAATTGTTTTCTCCATAAATAAGAAATGTTATCCTCACACACAGAATTGATATACAATGATATGGTATCACAGTCCATGTAGAATAAACCTTATAAGGCTACTTCAATCAAAGGCTGAAGAAAGGTAATTATTAGTATGTTTGGTTGTAGGTGGACAGTGTCAAACAACGTAATTCAGAAAGGAAATAGTAATCATATCTGACACCTTTATACTTAATATATATTTCAACAAAACGCAATCATGTGGATGTACAAGAGAAAGCACAATTGTGTGGATGTTCAAGAGAAAGCACAATCCTGTGGATGTACAAGAGAAAGTACAATCGTGTGGATGTACAAGAGAAAGCACAATCCTGTGGGTGTACAAGAGAAAGTACAATTGTGTGGATGTACAAGAGAAAGTACAATCCTGTGGATGTACAAGAGAAAGCACAATCCTGAAGATGTACAAGAGAAAGCACAATCCTGTGGATGTACAAGAGAAAGTACAATCCTGTGGATGTACAAGAGAAAGTACAATCCTGTGGATGTACAAGAGAAAGCAATCCTGTGGATGTACAAGAGAAAGCACAATCGTGTGGATGTACAAGAGAAAGTACAATCATGTGGATGTACCAGAGAAAGCACAATCATGTGGATGTACAAGAGAAAGCACAATCCTGTGGAAGTACAAGAGAAAGCACAACCATGTGGATGTAAAAGAGAAAGTACAATTGTGTGGATGTACAAGAGAGAGCACACTCATGTGGATGTACAAGAGAAAGCACAATCGTGTGGATGTACAAGAGAAAGCACAATCGTGTGGATGTACCAGAAAAAGCACCATTGTGTGGATGCACGAGAGAAAGCACCATCGTGTGGATGTACAAGAGAAAGCACAATAGCATGGATGTACGAGAGAAAGGACAATAGCCTGGATGTATGAGAATAAGCACAATTGGTTGGATGTACAAGAGAAAGCACAATCGTGAGGATGTACAAGAAAAAGCACAATCGTGTGGATGTACGAGAGAAATCACAATCATGTGGATGTACGAGAGAAAGAACAATCGTGTGGATGTACAAGAGAAAGCACCATCGCATGGATGTACGAGAGAAAGGACAATCACGTGGCTGTACGAGAGAAAGCACAATCGTGTGGATGTACAAGAACAAAACATAGTTATGTACATGGGAAAACACAGTCATGTGGATGTACAAGGGAAAACATAATCATGTGAATGTACAAGAACAAAACATAATCATGTGAATGTACAAGGGAAAACAGTCATGCGGATGTACAAGTAGAAAACACAATCATGTGGATGTACAAGGGAAAACATAATCATGTGGATGTATAAGAACAACACACAATCATGTGGATGTACAAGGGAAAACACAGTCATGTGGATGTACAAGGGAAAACACAGTCATGTGGATGTACAAGAGAAAACACAATTATTTTGTGAACAGATTGTGATAACAAAACCCTGATAAAATGCACACCACTAGTACTTGTTAAAACATTTGCAAAATGAAAAGCCTAAGACTTTCTACCTTCAAAACTGTAGAAGATGTATGAATAAGATATGGTTCTGACACAGGCTACTCAAACAATAGTTTCCCTTCAGTATGTAACACATAAATGTTGGACACAAAACCCTATCTAATATTACTTAAAAGTACTAAATAAGTCTATTTATTTTAAAGACCAACCCAATGTTTTCATGTTAAAATATCAATAATTTAAATTTTGCTCCACTTTTATTTCAAATGCAGATTTTTTTACAAATCTTTTAGATACAAAAAGAATTATATTTCAAATGTTTTCAACCATGTTTTATATTGTTATTTAAAGATCAATGAAATCCATTACAACACAGGTGTGTAGAAGTTATCAGATCAATATACTTCAAATATATCTCACAAAGGTATCACTAATCATAAAAGGAACAACAACAGATGTTGATGTATCTAATCTTACATTGTTTGCACATTTCAAATATCTAAATATCATCTAGAAAAAAAACCTTTTGAAATAGCTTGTATCAAATATTGACATTTAAAAAATATGATAATAAAATATAGTTTTACTTTGCAATTAGGTATTAAATTTCCCAAAAAAAAAACACGCAAAAAACAATTGTTTACATTAGTCATGTTATTATATTTCAATTTTTGTAAATATATTGATAATTTTGTTAAATATCTATAATGAATCATTGCTCAAAATTGGCTTACATGGATAATATAAGAAAAATAACTTTAAAATAACTTTGAACATAAGAGGTTTCACAGTTCAGAAGAAAACTAGACCCCATTTGATGACAAAATTTGAGATTGTCACCAAGAACTCATGAATGTATTTGAACCATGCACCTTGGTATGTGATTTTGACTATCTGATTACCTTTAAACCAAATAATGATTTCAATGTACAAAGCATGTGTCTGGAATAACCTATATCAGGTAAAATCATAACCATAGGTTTGGAAAGCCAGAGATAATCAACACTTGAAAGCAAAAAATAAAAACAAACAACCAGAAATTATCTCAGATCAGCTTATAATGATTGACACAACTATTGATTGTCACAATTGTCTTATTGGCAGGTTAATAATGCACAAGTAACTCAACTTGAGTTCTCAGACATGATACATGTAATACATACCCTGTGACTTACCCTTCTGTCCTTATGAACCCCTCCCCACCCCCTATGATGAATAAATTCATTCATGTTTTAATTGATGTTCCTAGACCCATTACCTCTCTAATTCCTCAAGTTCCTATAAGTCCTTCCCTAACCCCCTATGTTATATAATATATATTCTCTAATACCACGACTTAACTTTTCAGACATTATACATACATAATTCTGTGTATTATAATTACACAATGTTTATTAATGATTAGACATCTGTCATTTCAATATTTAAGTGGTTGTGAAGGATATGCCTCTGTCCTTCTCAATCAATATTTTTAATCAACTATATATAGACCTATATGGACTGTCCACTTGTGAAATGGCAGGTTATTGTTGTGGATAATTAATTAAATGTTGTGGAAACAAACATAACATGCGGTTTTCCACTGTTCAACAATAGCTAATAAACTGATGAAATAAAAATGTAATTTTTTATTTAGTCCTTGTACTGTTATTAATAGCGGTATCCCCCACTCACATTATTTGGTCCTTATTAAGGCATTATGATGAGTGCTATGTTTGGATTATAAGACTCTGAATATAGTAATGTATCACTCAGTTATTAGTGACAATATGAGTCTTATTCACAATGAGGGTCTTGTTGGGTTAGATTTATGGTCTCCACTAGCAGTGACAATTAAAAAGAGCACCGTATCATTTGCTGATATTTTGTTTTAAGAATCTTTTTATCATTCAAACTGTACAGGTTATATGTTTGGAAGCTACCAATGAAGTTGTCAGAGCCAATCCTCATAAGAGATCAGATAAATGTTGACCTTATTTGATGTAGCTTGGCCATGGTAATTAACTCTTATCAACTTTAAAAGGCTGTGATGGCATTCTGTATTGAGCTGGGAAGGCTACAGATATAAAACAATTATGACACTTGTAGTTCATAAAAATACAATTTAATACAGTTAATTCAATACATACTTAATTTCTAGACGGCTTCTTTTCTTAAATTTTATGCTTATTGAAATCAATTATCATACATGTTTAATTTCATGGTATTCTTATTTCTAGTGGTGACAACATGAAACTAGAAGTTCTAATGAGACTCAGTGTCTCACCTTATTATTGTTAAGTATGTTCAGAACGACTAATCCTTAACACAATATAGTCTGTTTTAATTTTGAATGCAGTTAACCCTTAAAAATATTTGAATCAGCTCTTGCTTTGATATAGGGGCTTTTTTGTGCCCAGGTGGTGCAAATTACTTATCAATCAATCTTTACTTTATTTGTCATAATTATAACACACTCTGCTGCATGTATTGCAGCCATGTTAAAAAAAATCCACTGCAAAACAAGATGTCATTGTGATGCAATTTTATGTCTTCATAATTTAGCTGTTAAAACCCTAACATGATGTACTATTTCTATTGGCTTACCTTGTTACAGCATCATTTGATTTGAACCCCCAAATATTTCCACTAAACATTTCCAAAAGTTGATATAGATGTCTACTTTAACATTATAATTATCTTAAAGTGATAATTAACATGGATAATTGTGGAACGATTTACATGAAATAACCTGTTATTGGAAATAAACATCTATCAACATAATTACAGGAAAATAGATACTGGTAGTGCCGAAGCTGAGGGTATATCAAATTATTTACAATGTTAGTACACAATCATAAACCCAAAACCTTTTAATACATAAAAGTTGACATTAAATTTGCATAAAAATAGCTGAGTTAAGATTTAAGTCCCTAAGCAAATAAATAAGAGCTTAGTACATTCAAATTTCTCTATTCTTATCCAAGTATTATTCCTTCTGATGTCATATTACTGGCTGTCTTAGGTAACACAGACCACACAACAACAAAAGTATTACCTTTAATCCAGCATTGAACTATAGCATGTCTAAGGTCACACAGACAAAACAACAACAAAATACTTAACTTTAACCCTATGAACTATAGCATGTCTGAGGTCACACAGACACAACAACAACAAAATACTCAACTTTAATCCTATGAACTATAGCATGTCTGAAGTCACACAGACACAACAACAACAAAATACTCAACTTTAACCCTATGAACTATAGCATGTCTGAGGTCACACAGACACAACAACAAAATACTTGCCTATAACCCAGTATACTTGACATGAAAACTGATGCATGTATCCTTTGTACTATAACTGATATCAGTAGTTCTGTTCAATAAGTGGACTCACTACCAAGTCTAGGACCCTGCAGTCTCAGAAGACAATACACTATTAACCATAATAAAGTCCCCACTATAATACTTTCTACTATGACTGAAATTACAAAACTCTGGTCAATGACTTGTGGCTCCCTACTCAGTGTATGAACACAGACAACACAACAATGACCAAAGACAACAACAAAGTACTTACCTATAGTCCTGTGTACTATGACGACTGATGTTAGTAGTGTTAGTTAATGAATCATGGCTGTGCATTGGGCTCCTAGTAAATATACAGCAATTCAGTGAAAATATGCCATAAAAACATTAGTATTTCTACAAAAAGTGGTTTAGAAAATTCATGTGTTGTTCGTTATTGAATGTGTTTATTTATATATGTATGGTGTTTTTTCGGAGGATGCCAATGTTTATTGTTGATGTGGTCTGTTGTATTGTGCTGTATTTTTGTCATTTCTTGTTATCCTTTTTTGCATTATTTGACAAAAAATAAATGGGGAATGTGTCCATGGGACACAGATGATGCCCCCGCTTGCATATAATGTTATAAAGAGATATAACTCAAGAACTGTAAAAGTGACGCTACCCAAATTTGTACTTGATCTGAGTTTTGTGGTAATATTAGCATTGTGTATACGTTTCATAACATTTGGTTGAGGCAAAGTAAAGTAAGAGAACTGAAACGAAAAATTCAAATAATTCAGCAATTTTTCCATTTGTAGAGGGGCATAACTCTAGAACAGCAAAAGCGACACCACCAAAATTCGAACTTGATCTGTATTTTGTGGTAATAAGAATTGTGTATAAGTTTCATAACATTTAGTTGAGGCAAACTAAAGTAAGAGAATGGAAACGAAAAAATTCAGCAATTTTTCCATTTGTAGAGGGGCATAACTCTAGAACAGCAAAAGTGACGCCACCAAAATTCAAAACTGATCTGCATTTTGTGTTAATAAGCATTGTGTATAAGTTTCATAACATTTGGTTGAGGCAAACTGAAGTTAGAGAACAGAAACAAAAAATTTAGCAATTTTTCCATTTGTAAAGAGACATAACTCTAGAACGGTAAAAGTGATGCCACCAAAATTCAAAATTAATCTGTGTTATGTGGTAATAAGCATTGTGTATAAGTTTCATAACATTTGGTTGAGGCAAATTAAAGTTAGAGAACAGAAACCAATTTAGGGACGTACGTACGTACAGACGTACAGACGGACAAGGGTAAAACTTAATGCCCCCTCTGCTACGGTTGGGGCATAAAAATTAAAACATGATATCTGCATTTTTGAAATTTTCAATATGGAGAAACCTTGTACATTTTGTACTGATTTTCTTTCAATTTTACCTTAACTGTAGAGGCTGCAAAATATGACTTTCACTATGCATACAGAATAAACCCCTACAGTAACTGTACTTCATGTTTGTGAGATTTCTAATTACACTGACTGTTTATTCAATCTTTATTCTGTATGTCTCAAAGCATAAAAACTAAATTACATTCAATATAAACCTAGCATTATACTTCTTGTATTGTTCAATAAAAATAAAATATTCAAATTTCAATAAACAAATTGCAAATAAATGCAACATGTCATTATGTCCAATGTCAAATAATTATACCCAATTGAAATTGAAAGTCAAGACATAATCAATGGATGTAAGAGACCCATTCTTATTTAAATCAAGACAAAAGTTCAAATGATCTGGTATTCACAGCAGATTATTGCTATATGTACATTGAGCAATACAATTGTCCTAAAAAATATAGTATGCAAATTAAAGTTTTGTTCTATGAGGCAAACTTTGAATAAGAATGAAGAGAAGCTAACATTAGCCTTTAATTTCATTTTTCAGTGTATAGATGATATCTTCTAACTGTTATTTCTAAAGTTTTGTGACTATATAATCTCATCTATCCTACTGAGCTTGAAATAAAGGATACAAAAGATACAATGGGAACTATTTCATATCATGACCTAAGGAAAAGTTTGTCCACACATAAACTGGTTTAACCCCACTAGCATATTGATTTTCCCAATTGTTATGATTGTTTAAATTTCACTCACTAATATTTTTTCAGCAATAAGCAGTGATAAGTTTAAAATAATACTGACATACATTTCATTTTATTCCAATAAGAACTGTGCGTGTGACGGTTTGCAACTAAGGTTGATTTTCCATATAATTTTTCATTTAAAAAATAACTCCCCCCCCCCAAAAAAAAATATTTCTTCAACTTTGTTTTTAAAGAAACTTTAATATAAATTGTTTCAATGACAATATTGACACCCTAGTATTTCTATGTCCTGGCATTGTGGGAGTTGGGGACAAAGAGAGACAATTTCTACCATTATGAACTTTCATTTTTTTTATAGCAACATTCCATTATGTAAATTAGAACAGATATTAGATTCCTATTTTTCCTTTTGTAAAGGAGCATAACTCTATAACGGTTGAAGTGACACCACCAAAATTCAAACTTGATCTGTATTTTGTGGCAATAAGCATTGTGTATAAGTTTAATAACATTTGGTTGAGGCAAACTAAAGTTAGAGAACAGAAACAAAAAATTCAGCAATTTTTTCATTTGTGAAGGGGCATAACTCTAGAATGGTAAAAGTGACGCCACCAAAATTCAAACTTGACCTGTGGTTTGTGGTGATAAGCATTGTGTATAAGTTTCATACCATTTGGTTGAGGCAAACTAAAGTTAGAGAATGGAAACCAATTTTGGGACGTACGAACGTACATTCCTACGTACCGACAGACGGACAAGGGTAAAACTTATACCCCCTCCAATAACGTCAGGGGCATAAAAATAGGTCAATTACAACAAAACTAAGATATGATATGCAACTTCTCATTAAACAACTATCAAGTATATCAAGTTCATATCAACAAAGATGACTGAAATCAGACAGCATTTTGCAAGTCAAATGACCTTAATTATATCAAAACTAGGTTAATCCATACCTGCCAACCTCTGAAACCTTCAAAGAGGGAGATCTCCCTCTCAGCTATGACAGCTGAGGGGGAGATTTTGCGCAAATGACATTTTCAAGTGAAAGATATGACGTGTTTATTTATTCATCTACGAAACACATATAAGAGTTAATAGATTGTTTCTTTAAATATGGTTATATCCTACAGAAGGTGTGTTGTTTGTTTCTTTCCTATTTCATCATCTTTGACTTTTGAATCCAATCAGGACAACTTTTCACCCCAGATACCTCTGTATGATACAGAGTGCAATCATGTTGCCTCAGATGGTGCAATAAGTGTGTACACTTATATATTCCACTGAATTTTGTTCAATACATATCTTATAAATTTCAATAAAAAACATTGAATAGAAGTAGAGATCTTCTAAGATATTTTTAAATATAATTATTTTTTTTGTCTAAAGGCATACAAAATCTTTTAATTGCCATCCTTTTATGATTCTTTGTTTAATTTGTATTTAGTTTAAATTGTTTTATCAATTCACATTATTTTAAGAAGGGTAACTCAAAACAGGATTAAACAGGGGAAGTAACCCGAAATTTCTTTGAAGTATAACACAAAGCTTTAAGCAAAAGTTGTTAATGATCGTTAATAAGTACTATGTTTGACACCCAAGCTGTCAAGTTAAGCCATTTAGTTTCACATGGTCTGTGATTTACAGGTAAAAACAACCCTCATCAGAGACACAAAAACGTAATTATTGTTGACTTGTCATTCAAGGTTGAAATATCCAAAAGCGGGAGATTCTATACTCCCGCGCGGGAGGGTACCGGCAAGCAGGAGATTTCCCAAATTTCACCATTTGAGCGGAAGTCTCACGCTCAAAACGGGAGGGTTGGCAGGTATGGGTTAATCAGAACAAAATTCAAATATGATCTGTACATCACTATTTTTCTATAAGGCCATTGAGAATGGAATGTTAGTCTCAACTAACACAAGAAAATATTAAAGGGTCAGCAGGCAGGAAAAACTTTTATTTCATTTTTTTTGTGTGCAGAAAATCAAAAGAGGCACATGCAGTTTCACTCTACAGAGAATTTTTTCCTAAACCACTGACAGGAAATTCTTGAAGAAACTTGTTTGACATTATCAGTCTGGGGAATAAGTGAAATAAGTGATTTTTAAATCACTCGGTTTTAAAGTAGCAAATTAGAAATTCTGTTATTTTGAAGTTTTACCAAAATTTTAAACACACAGGTTTCAATTATGTCTAATTATTAGTAAAATTTTTAAAAAATGGACCTTTTTCTTCTTTAAGTAGCAAGGTATTTAAGCCTTTGAAACAATCATTCATCTGTAAATTCTAAATTTCTTGTAAAAAAATGCTATAATAAAGGCTTTACATGATGATCTAATACTTTCTTAACACCTTTTTCCCAGCAGTGCGAGAATTCAAAGTTTCAGCTTACAGATCATGTAATAAAATTTGACTGTTAGCGACCAAAATTTGACTGTTTGTGGGTGTTGAAAATAATGGGGAGTAATTAATAAAATAATACTCAAAGAAGTGATTTTTTGGGAAGAAAATAGAGGTATGATACTTAAACAAGTGATTTTCATGTCGTTATCCATGATTCAGTACAGGGTCATCACTTGCCATGACCAGTCATCCCATAAAAACAGATGCTTGTTCGGATAATTTTAGCATCATAATTGGTTCCAGGACCATTGATATTAATTTAATACATTTTTTTTGTATATTTAAAGCTACAATAAAATCAAATCACTTAGACTAGTGATTATTTGTACTACTTAATGTGGATCATTGGTATATATTTCCTATATATATAGAATTTCTTATACTATGCCAGAATGTAGATTTTTCCGTGCTTTTTTCAAAAATATAATAAAACGTATGGGTCACCATGCTATTTTTCAAGCTAGAAGTCGTGCAAATTGAGATTGTTTATGAAAAAACACTTTATTGTGAATAAAAAGATATCTATGAGATGGAATTTTGAAATAAAATATAAGAAAAAGAAAATTTTTTAAAGCAATAATCGGACAATCAAAGTGTCATTGATAATTTTCATAAGAGAGTCTTGCTCTTTTTTTTTCATTTATTAAAAAAAGAATCAACCTGGAGGGTAAAAACTGGCCTGGTATGGTTAAGGGAAACCAACAATCCTTTTTCATGGCCTAATAAAGCACTTATTAGATAAACAACAAAAGCTGAAAAAGGAGAAGATACCTGATTTGTGAAATTTATAGAGAATATAATATTATATTTTTATTTTAGATACCACACTCCCAGATTTACCTGAGACACCAATATAAGCTCTAGGGATTACCTGAGACACCAATATAAGCTCTAGGGATTACCTGAGACACCAATATAAGCTCTAGGGATTACCTGAGACACCAATATAAGCTCTAGGGATTATATTGGTTGAAGGTTGATATAGTGAGTGATATTGAAAAAGCCATTTATAATATTCACTTTATCATATACTTAATACAAACACTTTTCTGTAGGGTTTGATAAAGCCTGTGCATCACAAAATGATTTAAAAAAAAACCATCTTCAATTTTACCTGTTTCATCCCCCTCTTTTAATAAAGGCTTCTCGTTTCAGTGCGAACTTAAGAAAGAAATTTAAAACTAAACTATATCACGTATATACACAATAAGAATGTTTGTGGCCAAGTTTGGCCTCATGATCATTTGGCCCTGATTTCATTAGAGGAAAATATTTTTGAAAATGTTTATGGACACACAACAGATTCAAAGTGATGAGATTAGTTGAAAATGGTCCTTACAACTGGATATAAGGACAAATGAAATTGCTGGTTAGGAGTTTAAATTGAGTTATCTACCTTACATCAATGACTAGACATTTGTACAAAATGAGCAAGTATAATTACAAAATAAATTTCTCTTTAAAGTCAAGGCAGGTAAATAGTTCATAGCACTTAAACTCAAAAAACATCAACTAGTGATGATTATATTTAATTTGTTTCGTGTTTCATAAATAAAATTGGAAAATTATCTGTATTATGTATGTCTTGACAGCTGTCAAATATACTCTAGGGCTAAAAACTGTTTGTGTTCATAGGACATTTTTCATACTAGAAAAAAATCTTGTGCATAATTTTTTGTTAGGATGCTCAATTTGGAATCAAATTCATTTTCTGAATTGTTTTGTTTTCCCTCAATCAAATTTGATGGGACTAGTAATAATTTTCAAAAATCTATTCAAAATCTGCTTTCAATGTAGCATTTTTGGGGGAAATCAAATCAAAACTTTTTTACACATATCATTTCCTGAAATTTTCATTTTCAGGTAACATTTTTTGCACTTTTATTTTAATTTAGCAATATTACCAATTCTAAAGGCAACAATCCAGTTATCACTTAAATATTGTTTGACTTCTTTGCGAAGGATCACAATTAGTGTTTACTCAGCTTTTTCTACAGATGCATTCAGGCTGTCCAGCAATATAGGACATGAAGGCAATTCTGAAGCCCCACCATCCATTTAAGTTTCAAAACTGATACTGTTAAAATATGTTCATGACCCATCCACCCATAGAAGTGTTTATGTAAGTGCCTTCATAGACCCCCCTCCCTGCATAACTTTTTCTGAAACAGATGTTAGAATGTTCAATTATGTTGGTGAAACTGTGTATCCCATGGTGGCATATAACTACAAAGGCTCTGATGATGATTCATCAGCTAACTTGTATACAACAGAAATCACCTTGTATGTGACATTTTTCCCACTGAAATGTAGAGTATAATTGTATGATAAACAGAACTCACCATTCAAAGTCTAAAAAATTAACCTTTTCCATTTCATAATCCAAAATCGGTTTTTTACCTTTTCTACACTTAAGGAAAAGACAGGCCAGAATTCCACACATTTTTATAGACATTGGACTATGTATTGTTTTAATGACATGGGATAATGGCCTTGTATCAATTGACTATGATAAAATTACAATAATTCATATTACTGTATATACAATGACTGCAGGTGATAAAATTGGAAACATTTAACACGAATATTGATGATTTATAATATGGTCTTTTCAAACAAAAGTCATCAGTACTAAATGCCAAGTAATCATTGTTTGACAAGAATTAAATATGCCATATTTTCTCCACAATCTTACAACATTCCAATACGTACGTGTCTTCTAATTTCTCCACAGCCTTACATATTTGCATATTTTTTTCATTAATTTTGCAGGAAAATATGATTTCACTAGAAAATGCACTCTATAGGTTAGAGATTGAGGTGTCTTGTTAGAATATTGGTCCTGGTGCTTTCAAAGCATCAACTATTACAAGTTTTTGTGGATAGATGTCTCATTGGCAATCATATCACTTCTTTAATATTTCTATATTGGCAATAAAGGTTTATATAGATAAAATATTGAACAGATTGAAGTAACAATAAAATAGAATTACCCTTCACTGATGTAAGAATGATGTTGTTTCATCCTTCCCGGTGGACGACTGTTGTATGATAGAGGTTCAGAATCTGTATCACTTCGTATATGTTGAAAAGAGCCTTCCTGGTAGTAGTCAGTTCTTTGTTTAAAATCTTCATTTTTATAATCATCACGTTTATAATCCTCATGTTTATATTCGTCATGCTTATAATGTTCATAGTCCTGACTGTCCTGGCGATAATTCCGTACAGAATCTGACTCTTCCTGCTCCACAGATAATTCCTGATCAAAGGAGTCTTGTTCAAATGTATTTTCTCGTTCGTATTCGTCCCTATCTGGAGATCCATACCTGTCAAATGATTCACCCCGTTCAAATGATCCGTTATGATCAAACGATTCTACACGATCGAACGATTCACCCCTTTCAAATGAGTGTTGATACGGATCATACTCAGTATAATAATCTTGTCCATGAAGGTGAGACATATCAGATGGCATCGGAGCATTCCTGATCTGTCGTGCGGGTATGTTGTGTGCATTGAGCTGTTGGGGGTAACTCATTTCACTTGTATAATCACTATCTTCTGATTGGCCAGCTGAAATAAAAAAATCATATGAAACGTCACAAAAACCTGTTTTCCCTTTTTTGATGACCCTTTTTATTTGTAATTGAATATTTTAATCATGAAGATGCATGGTCTTCCTACTACTAAGGAATAACTCCATTTGATACTGGATTTGAAATAGCACTGTTTCCTTAAAATTGTACCACATTTAGAATACATTCTTTTATGAAATCTACCCATATACCATCATGGTAAGAAATACTTATTAGGCCATGGGGAGATGACTGCTAGCTTGTAATATTTTTAATGACAAAATGTTTCTCAACCCTGCAAAGTTAAACTAGAGGCTCTAAAGAGCCTGTGTCGCTCACCTTGGTCTATGTGCATATTAAACAAAGGACACAGATGGATTCATGACAAAATTGTGTTTTGGTGATGGTGATGTGTTTTGGTGATGGTGATGTGTTTGTAGATCTTACTTTACTGAACATTCTTGCTCCTTACTATTATCTCTATCTATAATGAACTTGGCCCGGTAGATACAGTGGAAAATACTTTGTAAAAATTTACAAAAATTTACAAAATTTATGAAAATTGTAAAAAATTGACTATAAAGGGCAATAACTCCTTAAGGGGTCAATTGACAATTTTGGTCATGTTGCCTTATTTGTAGATCTAACTTTGCTGTACATTATTGCTGTTTACAGTTTATCTCTATCTATAATAATATTCAAGATAATAACCAAAAGCTGCAAAATTTTCTTAAAATTACCAATTCAGGGGCAGCAACCCAACAATGTGTTGCCTGATTGGTCTGAAAATTTCAGGGCAGATAGATCTTGACCTAATGAACAATTTTACCCCCATGTCAGATTTGCTCTAAATGCTTTGGTTTCAGAGATATGAGCCAAAAACTGCATTTTACCCTATGTACTATTTTTTAGCCATGTCGGCCATCTTGGTTCGCGGGCGGGGTCATCGGACACATTTTTTAAACTAGATACCCTAATGATGATTGTGGACAAGTTTGGTTAAATTTGTCTTAGTAGTTTCAGAGGAGAAGATTTTTGTAAAAAATTACAAAAATTTACGAAAAATGGTTAAAAATTGACTATAAAGGGCAATAACTCCTTAAGGGGTCAACTGACAATTTTGGTCAAGTTGACTTATTTGTAGATCTTACTTTGCTGAACATTATTGCTGTTTACAGTTTATCTCTATCTTTAATAATATTCAAGATGATAACCAAAAACGGCAAAATTTTCTTAAATTTACCAATTCAGGGGCAGCAACCCAACAACAGGTTGTCCGATTCATCTGAAAATTTCAGGGCAGATAGATCTTGACCTAATAAACAATTTTACCCATGTCAGATTTGCTCTAAATGCTTTGGTTTCAGAGATATAAGCCAAAATCTACATTTTACCCCTATGTTCTATTTTTAGCCATGGCGGCCATCTTGGTTGGTTGGCCGGGTCACTGGACACATTTTTTAAACTAGATACCCCAATGATGATTGTGGCCAAGTTTGGTCAAATTTGGCCCAGTAGTTTCAGAGGAGAAGATTTTTGTAAAAGTTTACGGACGACGGACGCAGGACGACGGACGACGGACGCAAAGTGATGAGAAAAGCTAACTTGACCTTTCAGGTCAGGTGAGCTAAAAATAAGAATCCTTAAATATAAAGAGTGCTCTCTCTAATGAATCTTAAAATGAACATATATTAGCATCAATTAATTTTTTTCATTTTTATTTTATTAAATGGCATAATTTTTTAAACATATATATGTAAACATAATTTCCAAACTTTTGATCAGACGGCTGATATATTGGTCAAATGGCCGATTTTTGGCCACGATCATGAAAAAATCTCAAGATAGGTTAAGGCGATGGATAAGACCAGGGTCTGCATAAATTAGTGTATAGTAGGTCAAGGTCATTACACACCCATATTCATGTTAAGGTTTACAACAGTTTACCAATCAAGAGTGGTGTTTTAATATTGAGATTTGTTATTGTATATTTCATGAGATTTGTTATTGTATATTTCATGAGATCTATTATTGTATATTTCATGAAATTTGTTATTGTATATTTCATGAGATTGAATACTGTATATTTTAAGAGATTAAATACTGTATATTTTATGACATTTGATACTGTATATTTCATGAGATTTGATACTGTATATACATTTTATGACATTTGATACTGTATATTTTATGACATTTGATACTGTATATTTCATGAGATTTGATACTGTATATTTTATGACATTTGATACTGTATATTCTATGACATTTGATACTGTATATTTCATGAAATTTGTTACTGTATATTTTATAACATATGATACTGTATATTTTATGACATTTAATACTGTATATTTTATGACATTGATACTGTATATTTTACTGTATATTTTATGACATTGATACTGTATATTTTACTGTATATTTTATGACATTTGATACTGTATATTTCATGAGATTTGATACTGTACATACATTTTATGACATTTGATACTGTATATTTCATGAGATTTGATACTGTACATACATTTTATGACATTTGATACTGTATATTTTATGACATTTGATATTGTATATTTCATGAGATTTGATATTGTATATCTTATGACATTGATACTGTTTATTCTATGACATTTGCTACTGTATATTTTATGACATTTGATACTGTATATTCTATGACATATGATACTGTATATTCGATGACATTTGATACTGTATATTCTATGACATTTGATACTGTATATTTCATGAAATTTGATACTGTATATTTTATGACATTTGATACTGTATATGTATATTTTATGACATTTGATACTGTATTTTCGATGACATTTGATACTGTATATTTTATGACATTTGATCCTGTATATTTCATGAAATTTGATACTGTATATTTTATGACATTTGATACTGTATATTTTATGACATTTGATACTGTATACTTTATGAGATTTGATACTGTATATTCTATGACATTTGATCCTGTATATTTTATGAAATTTGATACTGTATATTTTATGATATTTGATACTGTATATTCTATGACATTTGATACTGTATATTCTATGACATTTGATCCTGTATATTTCATGAAATTTGATACTGTATTTTTTATGACATTGATGCTGTATATTTTATGACATTAGATACTGTATACTTTATGACATTTGATACTGTATATTTTATGACATTAGATACTGTATATTTTTTATGAGATTTGATAATGTATACTCTATTACATTAGATACTGTATATTTTATGACATTTGATACTGTATATTTTATGACATTTGATACTGTATACTTTATGACATTTGATACTGTATATTTTATGACATTTGATACTGTATACTTTATGAGATTTGATACTGTATATTTTATGACATTTGATACTGTATATTTTATGACATTTGATACTGTATACTTTATGAGATTTGGAACCCCTTTAATTGAGATGAACTATTTCTTATCACTGGCAACCTTTCATAATATTACAACTGTCTTCTCCTAATAATGATTGTATATGTTTCTTAAGCTTTTTAAACCATCATTCAATGTATATCAATCTATCATCAGGGAATACTAAAGCCATTTTGTTTAACTTTTATTTTTTCAGCATTACCACATTTTGTACCAGGAAGTTTCAACAAATTATTGATTTCTACTGATATACTCAAATTAATGAAATCAAAACAGGAAACATATGACATAATTGGGTCGTAACTATAAATAATGCATTAATTTACAATCATAGTAACATCCTGGATTAATTTGATGGCACAATTAAAGATAGACAACAAAGGATTTTAGGAGAAAAGGAGAACAGTGCATGTTGTTCCTGGTACAACTAATGTCAATTAATCAAATTACAATCTAATTGCTTAGCTTTATAGATGACTTCTACATATGTATATAATTGAAAGAAATACAACAAGTCCTTTTATCAACAAACAGGAACATACAAAGTAGCAACCAATGAAAAAAGGTTCTATACAGGTACATACTAAAGGGAGCCAGTGTAGTTTAGAAACCAAACATTCTACAGTGCTCTTTTGTTATTGGGTTGTTTATGTGATATGTTGCGTAATTTCCTAGTTAAATTTATCAAATTGTTATATCTCACAAGGTGGCCTTATCAAAGCTGAAAATCTGTTGGTTTTTTCCTACCCTCTCTCAATTTGGGGCCTCCTGCCAAACACTTTTTGTAAATGCTAGATCTGCCACGAGATCCCCACAAAGTAGGTAAATGAGACAACAGTATTGTTCCATGAAAATGGCATCTGACTGAGGAAGAATAATGGAGATATACTTTAAATTAAAGATAAATAAGTTTAAAGAGAGGATGAATGATCTAAAATCAACAAAAGACAAGTACAACCCCAGGATATGTTACACCTACATTGTATGGAGGATGAATGTTGATGTCTTTGTCGTTGTAATTCAATCATCTGTAACATAAAAAAAAACACAAAATTAACAATCAGCAAATTATCTTTCTAATTGAGCTATTGCAAATTTCAATCTCTGAAAATCTGTATTGTAAATCTTTTATTTTGTAGGTAGAAGTTTTAATGTTTTAAAGTCTTCATTTGTTCATTATTAGTATGAGAGCGTGTCTATTGTTGAAAACCATAGGTTGACCTTCAGATTTTGTTTTCGGTTTCTGACAGTTTTATTTGAATATGCTATATAGATACTTTAACCATGCTGCTTGTTTTTTTTAACAAGCTCACTGGAGTGAACGAGTGTAAATTATCCTGTTCAAATATAGTCCAATCCTGTAGCAGAACTTTTAAGAAAATCGGCAGGTACTACTAAAGAACAACATATAGTTATATCTTCTATTTGACGGAAATTAAGATTAATATCCCAACATGCTAGCTCAATTAAGTAACAGTTTGCAGGTTCTAACACATATTATGACTCAATACTTTGAACTTAATCAGATGTGTATTGTAACATGTCCATTTATTAACGAAAGAGATATATAGTCTTTTTTTAAATCAAAGAAAACTGAAGAAATCTTTAAAAATAATAATATGTTACATTATGTGTTCATAGGAACATGAAAACTTACAAATTTATATATACATTAAACAGTTCACGTAATAGGGAACATGTGCATTTAATTTCAATTTGATGTGATCATAAACTACCTTAAACCAAATGTTTAACCTAACTTAAATCAAAACTTTTACATATCACATTTCCACATTCAGTGAATTGTGAAATCTGGATGAAAACCCTTATTTGGCATATATACAATATATATTAATTAGTTCACTTCATAATGATCAAAAACTAACCCAATCCAAAACCTTAACCTACTTTAAAACAAAACTCTAACCTAAAACGGGACGGCCATACAGACAGAAAAACAAAATTCTTAAGGGTTCCACGGGACCCAGTGTCTCGCCTACTTTTGCCGTTAGTCGCAGGCTCAACAAAAATGGGGAAAAAATTATTAAAAACTTTCCTCTAGATACTATCTTTTGATTGTAAGAAGCTTCTGTCCAAGTTTGGTAAAAATCCAGGATGGCTTATGAATCTTATAAATGTTTTAAAAACTCTAACTGCAGACTGTATGTAACATGATGTAATGTTAACTGGAAGAAAAACTAAGTCTATTTATAAGTACAGTCGATTCCGGTTATTTGCATAGCCTATTTGTCAGACAAAATTATGCAATTAAGCGGAGTATGCTTATATCCGAAATGCCAAATTACGGAGTCAAATAACATCGATAGTACAGATCAGTAAAGGAAATCCCTGAAGAAAGATGAACGTCCATAATCCACTTACAACATATTGAATGCTTATTTATTCTAATAAAAGTTATGTGTCTAGTGTTATACATGTTATTTTATTTTGTATTCTTTCAATAAAGTTTATAAACACATTTTGATTTAGTTTATTTGCGTGCCGACTTTTCCTTTACCTGAGATACGAAAATAAAACTAATTGTTCTAAAAATAGATTTGTTTCTATGACCCGGATGTACAATGTACATTGTTACGCTTTGATTAAATTAACTGTTTAACAATACTACACAGTTTATGATCATTTTAAACAATAAATGTGTACTAAACTGCCTTTGATATGCAGTATTTACCGCTTGCACAGTGATGTAACACTGTTTCTTTAACCTCGTTAGTTTCGTATATGCAAAGCAGTTTAAAACAGGTAATGGGGCCCTGTACGGGTTATTTGCAGTACACGAGTGTTGAAAGAGAGAAAATATAATAATTAGAAGTTGATTTTCTTTTCAAAAAATATTTAAAATTATAGATTGATGTATAAAATTCTTCAACCATATATAAATGCCCTGTAATATTTAACATAAGTGTAGATCACCCCAAGCCGAATTACGAGAGTACACATTGGATAATGATCGATAATTAACAGGGGTTATTGTTTTTAAAATTCACCCCACATGTAATCTATGAACAATGTTTGAAATCCAATCAATAATTAACACCTTTTGAGATAGATTGGACGTGTTTTTACAACAATCACCTGTTTGACATTTTTTTTACCTCGAGGCTTAAAATAGAACATGGGAAACTTTACCTGTGTACACATCGAGGCTTATTTTATAATCATATAAACACGAAAGAAACTGTTTTAAAACTTTATTTAGATAACACAGAAGTAAATATGAAATAATAACGAAAATTATGATGCATTCAAGAAAAATATACTTACCAAATTGCCGTTTCCGGTCAAAAATCTCGTCAGTTTTAACTAAGCATATCTAGCTGGCGAATATTTTCTATGCAATTAACCGAAAGGCCACTTGTAAGGCTATGCATATAACCGGACAATTTAACATTAGATGAATGGGAAATGGTTTTGTGCAGGAGAAAAGTATGCAATTAACCGAATTATGCTATTAAGCGGTATGCAATTAAGTGGAATCGACTGTAATATACGGAAAAACAGGAAATAATTTTTTACAAAATTTCCTTTTAGATACTATTTTTTTTATCATAAACAAGCTTCTGTCCAAATTTGGTACAAATCCAGGATAGTTAAAGAAAGTAATTAAAACTATTAAAACTTTAACCACCGAGTGAATGTAATGTAAACTGGCAGAAAAACTAAGTCTATTTATAAGTAAAAAAAGGATAAACAGGACTTTTCTTTTACAAAATTTACTTCTGGATACTATATTATTCTGACACAAAATGAATGTGGTCTAAGAACTTAAAAAATTTTAATTTACCTATTCAAACCATATATGATTATTATTTGCTTTTATATATAAATCAGAAATAACCAATTTAAAATGGAAAATTTTAAAGAAAAAAAAAATCCCTGCCCCAAATTTTTTGAACCTCCTTATGATTCATCACCCCCAAACTCAATCCCAGCCTTCCCTTTGTGGTATGGTACCTTGCAGTACAATTTCAGAGAGATCCATACACTTGAACACAAGTTATTGTCTGGAAACTAGAAAAATGCTTGTTTTTAAGTGCCTTTTTGGCCCTAAATTCCTAAACGTTTAGGGCAATTACCCCCAAACACAAACCCAGCTTTCCCTTTGTGATATAGAACCTTGTAGTACAATTTCAGAAAGATCCATACACTTACACACAAGTTATTGTCCTGAAACTAGAAAAATGCTTGTTTTTTACCCTTTTTGGTCCTTAATTCCTAAAATTTTGAGGCAATTACCCCCAAAATCAATCCCAGCCTTTCCTTTGTGGTATGGTACCTTGCAGTACAATTTCAGAGAGATCCGTACACTTGAACACAAGTTATTGTCTGGAAACTAGAAAAATGCTTGTTTTTAGGCCCCTTTTTGGCCCTAAATTCCTAAACGTTTAGGGCAATTACCCCCAAACGCAAACCCAGCTTTCCCTTTGTGATATGGAACCTTGTAGTACAATTTCAGAAATATCCATACACTTACACACAAATTATTATCATGAAACTAGTAAAAATGATTTTTTTTTTTTGCCCCTAATTCCTAAAATTTTGAGGCAATTACCTTGAAAATCAATCCCAACATTCCCTTTGTGATATGGAACCTTATGGTACAATGTCAGAGAGATCCATACACTAACACACAAGTTATGTCTGGAAGTTACAAAAATGCTTATTTTTGGCCCCTAATTCCTTAACTGTTAGTACCATAACCCCCAAAATCAATCCCAACCTTCCTTTTGTGGAATTGAACCTTATGGTAAAATTTCATAGAGATCCATTCACTTAAACTAAAGTTAGAGTGCGAAAACCAATGTGTCTTCGGACGACGACGCCAACGTCATACCAATATACGACAGCAAAAAAATTTTGCGGTCGTATAAAAACTTTAACCACTGAGTGAATGTAATGTTGACTGGCAGAAAAAACTAAGTCCATTTATAAGTAAAATACGGATAAACAGGATTTTTTTTTTTTAAATTTACTTCTGGATACTATCTTATGATCATAAACAATCTTCTGTCCAAGTTTGGTAGAAATCCAGGATAGTTTAAGAAAGTTATTAAAATTTCAAAAAATTTAGCCACAGAGTGAATATTTGTGGATGCCGCCGCTGCCGACAGAATGTAGGATTGCTATGTCTAGCTTTTCCGACAAAAGTCGCAGGCTCGACAATAAAGCCCAATACTCTTGTAGGTGGGGCTTAAAAATCGATCATAATGTCATAAAATTGAAAATAGAAAATTTTCTTGGAGTCTTTAGAAGTGATTTAAAAGTAAATGTTTTTTTTTATTTGAACAAGCAATTTACATTAATTGATTTTCAGTCAAAATTAACTCTAACAGAAAACTGTGCATGTAACAGAATTAGTTGTTTCCATATATTTAAATGCATCTGGAAACAGTTTGACATCAGTGTGTAAAAACCTATTAAATATGGACAACTCAATGCATCATTTGTCATACAGAGATATTTTATGTTTCTGATATATATATGTTACTTTTAACAATAAAATAGTTTTTTCTTTCAGCATGAAATCTGAGTAAAACAAATTCCTAAAGTGACAATATACATCTTCTGGGATTTCATTAATGATTTTATTGATAAAAAAAATGTCTGTTGTAGGACAGCAAAAACAGAACGAGTCTCAATAGTACAAATAAGAGAAAATACAGACAACTTTTCCTAGGCAATAAGTCATTTGGGAGATGTTGATTTTAATAGATAGTTTAGTTCAAGAGAATGCAGGATTCTTTTTTTTTATACAGTTAAGTTTTTTCATAGACTTAAGACGGTAATGAAAACATTCTGAATAATGTATCAATTGATAAATGTTATCTTATAAGTATACATGCAAGATTGAAGGTAGTTTAACAGGTTTCTATTGAGATTTTCTTATTTGTAAAGGTGTTCACAATAATAACTTATTTCTATATACTATCTCTTAAATAAGCACTTTAGTTTGGTGACAATCTTAATCCTTCAACATTAGTACTTATATTTATTGATGATAATAATT